GAAGGGTGTAAAAGTGGGCTGGAATGAAGAATACGCGTTTGTTGTGAGTGGTTTTCTACTGACCATGCCGATCAGTCATTGGGGTAAAGCACCACATGCCTGCATCTCTCATCACGAAAATCATATCACTGATGATGAATCCCACCTGGTAACCTAATTACTCCAACTTCCTACATTTCACTTGAGTTACTACATGATTAATATGAAGTCCGTATGACGCATAATCCAGTCAACTACAATTAAGAATATCATTGGTGACAATAAGTACCCTTGTCTGTTGTGATCCACAACGGAAAACTCAGCGAGGCGTTTGGAGTAAACACAGGAGTCAGACAAGGGTACTTATTGTCACCAATGATATTCCTAATTGTAGTTGACTGGATTATGCGTCAGACAGTGGGAAACGAGAAGACAGGGATATTCTGGACCGACGTGAAGAACCTAGAAGACCTGGATTTCGCGGATGATTTATGTCTGATATGTGTCGGTGGCACAGCGGCTAGGACGCTCGCCGACCATGCACATGATCTGGGGTTCGATCCCCGGCTGACGCAAACCCGATATCAATGGTCGGTCTGCAAACTTTGGGCTACCGATATCACACGCTGAAAATTTCACACTTGTATCAAAAATACTACATGGAGTCAAGCTATAATAAAAAAACACTCGCAAACGAAAACCGACAAACTGGTCGAAGAATCAGCAAAGACAGGACTACAGGTGAACATAGACAAGACGGAGGATATGAAAATAACCAACCAACAACAACAACGTCAAAAGCAGCAACATCCAGCGCTGATCACCATCAACGGGAGGGATTTGAGAGGTTACTTCACTCACTTATCTAGGGAGCATCGTCTCAACTACAGGAGGAACGGACGAGGATGTCAAATCGAGCGAGAACCGGGAAGGCGAGAAACACATTCATCAACCTGAAACCAATCTGGAAATCTTCGTCACTCAACTCAGCATCAACAACAAAATTCGGATTTTCAATACAAACGTCAAGTCAGTCAGTTCTTCTATACGGATCAGAAACTTGGCGGTCACCAAGAATATTTTCAACAGGTTGCAGACCTTTATGAACAACTGTCTTCGCTGGCTCTATACTGAAGATCAGATGGCCGGAAAGAATCACAAACAAGAAACTATGGGAACAAACAAAGCAAGAACCAATCGCCCAACAAATATGCAGGAGAAAGTGGAGGTGCATTGGACACTCGCCGAGGAGGCCGTTGGGTGACGTCGGGGGTCAGGCCCTCGAGTGGAATCCGAAAGGGAAGTGGCGAGTGGGACGTCCAGAGGTGACATGGAGGAGATTGTGAGAAGAGGAATTGGAACAGTATGGACTAAGATGGATGCAGGTGAAAAGTACACCAGAAGACAGAAGCAAGTGGAGACGTGCAGTTGAAGCCCTATGCTCCACTAGGAACCCAAGGGAACAATGATAATAAATGAAGTCCGAAAGTACACTCATCCGTTATTCATGAAATTTAACAAAAGGGTGTCCAGTGAAGTCGATGAGTACTTCTCCCATAGAGAACTTCTTCCCCCCATCTGCCTAAAATCTATGCATGTGAATAATTTCACAAAATCACTAGTTTAAAGCAGTACACTAACGAGTGCTTAGCTTCAGTGTCAGTGAATTCGTCTCGTTGCAGGCAGTTATTAAACGTCACACAACTACCAAGCATTCATTCGTTGTCTGGTTTCCCAAGCAAGTCTGTCTGGCCAGTTAGATTACAAACCTCAATTGGTTAACACATGCTTCGAAAATATGTGTCCGGGTCCAGACGGTTAGACCTGTTTTTTGTTTGTTCTTGTTGTGGCAGAGTTATATTGCAGAGTCTCATTGGAACATAAAGATATGATGGCTCACAGGTAGTTAGTGATTCAGTGATTAAGATGGACGACAGAAAAAAACATCTAGTAGGAATTATATGTTCTCCATGATTCGCCCTTCCAAGCGTTTCGCTAAGTTTCCCTGCTTGAGTCACCTACCAGTGTGCTTCAGAAATGAACTTTCAAACCTTACAGCTTCCCTCTGTAGTAACACGCGCAGTAGTTCGGTAATTTGCGTTATTATTCCGGCATAAGTATCATTTACTATACTGTCACAACGAGTTCGAATCTCCTGTTCGATGCAGTACATGTATGTCACCATTTAAATCAGAACAATGATCAGATAGCTCAGAAAACGAAAAAGTTTTTGGATCAATTCTGCTAGGCCAGGGTGCATACATAGATAACTGGGTATCTTGCACATACACCGGAAAATAACACGGTAGCGAGTAAACAGGTGTTAGCTCTCAACCCCGCATATTGTGAATTATCAGCTTTTCAAACAGTGGAGATCAGTGCCCAATGCTGAATCATAATTTCCTACATTACCACTACTCACCTTTTGGATTCCTATTGGAATAGTGGTCCCCAAAGGGAATTCACCATTATGTTCGTTTGTTTGTCATCATTCTTTTACTGGCTGCATTACTGTCCTCAAGCCTTTGTTTCCACGTTGCATAATCTCCTCCATGTTAATCTGTGACCTAAGTACCATCAGTCCCTTCCGACTCCACTTTCATTCGGCAACAAGCCTGGTGAGTGATTTTACTTAAATGTTCCCTTAATTTACATCCAATCCATTCCTACTTTCCTTTACATATTTGCTGGGCCAGCAATGGATTGTCGACTAGTTAGCTGCCGCTGTTCCTTATCGCTTATCCCTTTCGCACTGCCGTCTGATTTCCACTGCTGGTGGGATCCCGCATAAAATAGCGTGTCATACTTTCTCACGCGTATTATGATTGATTGTGTGATCAACAAATTTTCACGCATATTGTGACTCGTGCGACCAATCATCTCTCACGGCTGTGGACCAGCTTTAATGTGGTTGAAACTTATAAATATCGTGTCTCGTTTACCTAATAAATGCATCTAACAGTCACAGGCCAGCTTCCATCTCTTGATATTTGCTTGGCTCAGTGAAGCTGAAGGTGCAACGGACAAATAGCCACATAAGCGTAGCAGTCAAGTTCATTACTGTTATGACAATTAGCAGTTCGGACATAACACCTATCCAGGCAGAGAAGTTATCTATTTTATTAAAGTGTGAGAATTAGAGACATGCGCAGAGTCCCCGAACCACGATAGAGCACTCTGTTGGGAGTGGTGTTGAGACTCTCGATCTTATTCCTTGTTCTGAGTGCTGTTGGTATCCACACCTATTCCGGAATGCATGGGGAAAATCTCGCTTTCCCGATCGAAGTTGACTGAATTCCTTATCCGTACGGCCTACCCAGATGGTTAATGAAAGAGACGAAATCCTCTACATTTCTTCCAGTGACGGTGACTGGTTTTGTTGTTACTTGGTTTACTTCATCACCTGTGGTTTGTCTACCTTCATCTGAAGTCTCACGTTCTCTGCCTCGTTGACTAACTTAATGGTCTCCACACGCAAGTCTGTTTGCTACATGGAACATTATTCATCAACGAAGTCAAGGCTATTTGACTCACAATATGCCCACCTCCAAATGTTTTCTGATATGTCCCAAGATCTTGTCCGTCGCAATTAAAGGAATCATCTGTGATACCTGGTGGCCATTTCTTTCTCTAGTATTTACTTTACACCCTTCATTATACCATCTAGTGTGCATTACTTAATATTTGGCGCCATCAAAGAGCTGCTGAATTGGATTTATATATATGTTAGTATCAATCCACACTGTCGAAGAGGTTACCGAATTACTTCACGGTTAGTATTAGAGCTTTTGAAGGTCGATTAATCTGAGGTAGACAGCTTGATGATTGCGCGTAGGTGATGATAGTTGAGCTGTAGGTCATTAAGTGCTTGTGACTGTTAATTGATATTATCACATCTACTCCCCTGCAGAGGTTTCTATTGCTGACAGTGTTTTTGGCAACTGAGATGATGTTTCATTCCATAAATAAACATTTCATCAACAACACCGGAGTTTTATACGTTCAAACCAAGTTCACTTTTAACAGTTTGAAAAAATTTGGGCATTGGGTGCATGATATTCATTAATATACAAGTTTTTGTATTTCCCAATGAATGATGAACAAAACAATACTGCTGCGTTTATTGACGTTTCGCCATTTAATGCTGTCAATAGCTTTATCACAGTAGTGATATTAAACCAGAATTTACAAAATCCCAGCTTATATAAACAGCAACTTAATCATCGTTCATCAGCATGGGGTAATTTTAACTTTGTCAAGTCGGCCAAATGGTAAAGATAGCAAAACCAAGGGTAGATTGTTGGATTTGATAAGGGTGCAAAATTGTAAAAGCGGCATGTGTTTACATAATGAAATCGCTTATCACATTCGTATTGATTTCGTCATTTCATGGGGAGGGGGTGGGCGTTGTAACCAGGTCAAATTCTGTTTTAGTTAATCATTCCTATTCAGATAATTTGAATTACATTTGGCTATGAAGTGCATCTGATATTAGACTTTCTTTGGGATGCCACTAACCATAATCGGTGGACTAGTGAAATACAAAAAGCGTTGGACAGCCGTCCAGCCCAAGTTTAAATGTCTTGGCAGTGCTCGCCTACGACCCTGCCAGGGATCATATGTAGCCCTACATTTTGGAGACAGGCCGCTGAATACTGAGTAAATTTGTTAGAGCTCAATTACAAAAGAATTCGAAATTCTGTCAATTCGCGACATGGTGCCGTTGCTAACCAATGTTTTTAATAAACATCTGTTTTTGCGTTTCAATCACTTGTTCAGTGGTGGCTACTGTATGGATTCGTCCAAGTTGTAATAAAGAGTAGCCACCGGTAGGCTCCACCATCTCAGGATGAAGTGGGTGCTTATGGATGTAATTAGTTAGCAACAGAGCTACATCACGAAGTGATAGAAGTTAGAATTCAAGAGTCAGTGAATTCCAACTCATCGCCTCATGTCCTGAGGGTCTTCACTTAAACCTCTGGAGGTGTTGTGGTTGCGAAGTGCGCAGGTAGGGGAAGCCGTTCATTGTCCCCTAGTTTCCTATAATCCTTTAGTTGATTGTGGTTTTTGACGAGGTCCACACTAAAATTAGTCCAAACCTCTGGAATATCTAAGAACCTATATCGTACTAAAAACTATGGAAGAAAGTGTAGCAAAATCTGCTGTATCGAAAGAGCGGTACATAGGAACAGTGCGTTACTTATGGATTTGCTTGATAAGAACGACTCAGTCGCCTCCATCCAGGTAACTTATTTACTTCTGCTTGTTATTCGCCAGGAATCCAGAAATGCATTCAACCGTATGAGACAAAACAATATCATTGATGATGGAGTTCAGTTCCACTACGCTATCGATCTGTTGCGCACAACTAAGAAGGAAGCATTACTTTTGTCTATTAGACTGCTAGAAGGTTTGTTTCATCCTGATCATTATTGTTTCAGAAATATTTAACAGGACAAAAGATGATGGCCTTCGACGAGACTGCTTATATTATATGGCTATTGCTTACATCAAACTATCAGTAGATGCAATTAATTTCATAATTTCCTTTAGGACTACGAGAATGCAACTCGCTGTTGTGATAACATACTAGAAATACAGCCACTAAATCATCAAGTCAAAGAGTTGAGGGATGAAATTCAGTCACGTGCCAGGAAAGGTACTGTAAAATTTTGATATGTTTATGTTCATTAGTCTAAATTGATGCAAGTTTTCTGGCTTTTTTATTTATTTGCTAGATGATTTTGCGCGTTTTAACATGCCTCTTTTGCATTTGTGTCCATGGTTTTTAGTTGTAGTAGTGCTTTGAGCTGTAAATGTATTCACAGATGAAATGCACACTGTTCACCCATTATCAGCTTTAAATTATCTGTGAGTTAGAGAAGTTGCGTATCAGGTGTTTTCTCAGATACTTAAGCTTCCGTATGTTTTATTGCTTAGATAACCCACAAACCTGTAGGCGCAACTGTTCAAGTTGCTCAACTTCTGAGCCCACATAAAACTAGAAAATGTAATGATATGCCACAGTAGTCAAGCGTTTATTAACAAAAACACAGAAACTGGGTGAAAATCAGTCAGCAGTGAGTACGTCTGCGCCAAAGCGACTTTGAGCCATGTCACTGGTAGCCTGTAGTCATTGATTCTAAGTTATGGAGAAGTTAAACTAAAACAGTCTCCAACACTAAGTCACCATTCAAAACGACCTCAAAACAGCTAATCACAGAATTCACCTTGAATGACTTATATGTATTGAGTTCGTAGCTTGCTGTTCTTCTGGGTTTTCAGTTTTGTTTGGATATTGGATTATCTATTATGCTTAACTGAGGAACCTTATTGCAGTAATTAAGGCTAAATTAGCAAATTTACCAATATTAACATTGCTTTGCTGTGATTGGTTAGTTAAGGTTATTTAAAAGCTGTTAGATAACAGCAAACTGCTGCATAGTATACATGTTCTTTGAGTGAACAGACAGACATCGTGCCAACGCCAAAAATGAATCAGTTTAGCCTTTTATGATTTTATTAATATCCAGTCCATTCAAACTGAATGGACCCAACGGATAGCTGCTACGTTGACGTGGTGGTCGGGCTTGCATATCGCAATGACCCGAAAAGCTACACTGGCTGGAACTTTTGCTCCTACAGGTCCTACAATCCCAGGAAGGTTGTTAGGACAGCAATTAGATTAAAAGCAGTTACCGGCATAGTGTAAGGTTTTTTTTACACTGTACTGGGGGTACGTGGGAGAAGTCGTACTACTGGGGAACAGGAATGTAACAGCAGTGAGGTGTTTTCCTCAGATGAACAGCATGCCAGCTATTCTGTATCTCCACTCTGGAGAAAAGGGGCTGGAAAAGGTCGACCCCAACAATTGTACATCCCGACTTACAATATGGTGGTCCGTAACCGGCGGTAAGTTTACTAATACGGAACCAAACCAAGAAACCAGTTCATACTGGCTGTGTGTGACCGGCCTCAAGCAGTTGTCCCCTGGGCTCTGCGGTCACGCAACACTAACCCTTTTTATGTTTCGGGTACCCGAAGAATCAACCAACAACAACAACCGCCCACACACTTCTAAGAGCACACTAAGCCCTCTCGAGCATCGCTCTCCTTTACCCACATCACCTTCATCATCTTGCTCCCCAAAAGCAGGTATCACTAGCAAGAACTATGGCAAATCGTGCCATGGATGTATGCTGTGTTTTAAAGACACGCATACAAGACCCGAGTGTGGTCATTCACTTAACCTCACCCGGCCAACAAGGTGAATCTGCGAAATTCACTTTAAGGGTGTCAGGAGACCCCTCAGCTAGTTCGCGAGGACTCGCAGGTGTAGGGTCAAGGGTTAGGGCAGAAAAATCCGGTTATCGACCAAAGGGCGTGTGTACTGCTCAACAGACGGCTCCGTTCTCCTCTATGGCTGTGAGACCTGGCCATTGAGAGTGGAAGACATGAAAAGGCTAGCTGTCTTTAATCATAGGTATCTGCGTTCTATCTCCCGTGTGAAGTGGTATAATAAGGTAAGCAATATTGAGGTTAGCCTTCAGTCCAGTGGTAGGTAAGGGGAGAAAATCAATTGAGGAAGTTGTGAAGTTACACCAATTGAGATGGTTAGGACATTTGTTACGCATGCCTAGCCATCGCGTTCCTCGACCGACGGGCAATGTTAGCTGACATAGGATCAGGTTGCAAAAGAGTTAGCTAGTGATGGTCAAACCAAAACATGACTTCATCAGTCAGTGAAATCCACAACAGTTAGTTTAAGCCACGTAGGAAGATGTAGACTTTCTGGCTGTTTGGAGTCCTCGGGACGGCAAACACCAATGGCTGAAGACAGTTGGTAATATGGCTCAAAACCGTTCTCAATGCGCAGATGTATCCACTTCTTGTGACTTATAATTTCCAATAAAACTATATTGTTCTTCGATATTACTATATTTTTTGCCTCATATCTCTGTTTACTGTCACCATTTTGCATTTCTTTTTACTTTCTTCTTCTTCTTCTGTGGCTTTGTGTGCTGAGTGATGTGTGGTGACTCAAACTGCTGTACATCGGTGCAAACCAGTCAATCAGTCCATTCAAACTGAATTAATAATTTCAGAATAGGTAGAGCACTTATTAAACACATTCAACCAATTCATTCTCTGTTCTTATATTGGAAGTTAGTACAATTCTGAAGCATTATTTTGCATTTGTTATGACTGTATCACATGTCAGACAAACTCAGATCTTCGGTTAAAATTTTCAGAAGTTACATTTAAAAAACAAACACAAGTAGTATTTGTTTATGACAGAATAAGGAGACTTTTCCATCAACAAGTCACTCCTTGAAGCATCGAGGTTATTCAGAGTGAAATGCTTTATAGCATCTAACCCAAGAGATACAGTTTACTGCTGTTACATTCCTACCCATCAGCGGCATGACTCCGCCCTTAGACTCTTACAAGTGAGTAGGCAATTTATCTTGTAGTGGTAACTACTTTCAGCTTCACCGCTATCTATCCGATCATCCCGGCTTGGTAGGTTTTATAGGAATATTTTTACCAGCCATTGTTTTTCTATGGTAGAAGCATCCACATTTTTATTAGGTGTCTCAACGCTTAAATAATAACATCAACTTATAGACTGTAGGATCAACTAGTTGTCGTTTACATGAAAACTCGTTGCCGAAAGTTGCATTATGTTGCCTGCTTTTAGCACATGTACTTGAATGTCACTTTAAAACGTCCTGTATTAATACTCACAGCTACTGTTTATCATCAGACTATAATTGGTATAAACTAACCAGTATAATACGATTTCAATTCCATAAAGGTGCTTAAGTCCAATTACTTTCAATTTTATGTTGCGTATCAATGCTGTTCTAATAGATTAATTATAAAACGAAATTTGTAGATAATCACAAAGTTGTGAGGTTGTATTGCTTACTTTTAATTCATCATAATTACTCATATATGGATCTTTGTAGTTTTTCTGTTCTACTAATTAATGCTTTACGCTAAAATTCTCATGTTATGAAGTTACTTGTGTATCACAAACAGTCACTTCATATGTGAAGATATTGTGTATTCTAAATGTTTATTTCAGATCAGTTCACATCATGTAGTGATGCCTAATTTTTTTTATATTTTAGATGGCCTTACTGGTTTAGCAGTTGTTGGAGGTGCTGTATTGGGAGCAGCTGCATTATTGGGTATCGGTCTTGGTGTTGGTTTATCGAAACGTCGGTAATTAATTTGATCTATGGTTCAACACTTGTGATTCGGCAATCAGTGAATCGATGATTGATCTTCAACCAGAATCGTTCCTTTTACTTTCAAATGTATTTATTTGTTTTCTCTCTTTGTTTTTATAAAAAAATTTCACATTTTCATATAAAGTCATCAGATTTAAGGTGGTGAATTTTTGTTAATTTATACCTATGGGAAAGACTCTTAACTTCAGTTCTTGAATGTTCTTACTGATTAACTAGTAGAAAGAAATAGCCATAGGGGGAGCTTAATGTGGCCTTAACCTTTTTACGTGCACTTGGGGGATTCTTTTTCCTATACAGAACAATGAGTGATAACTGAAAGAACGCAGAAGGTAGACAGCGACGAAGCTGCTACGCTGCCAGCTTGACGGCGAATTAGTGTTTATTTATTACTGTTGTTTCCTTTAGTTCCTAGAAAAACTTAGGGCTTCAACCGCACGTCTCTATTACGTTCGGTTCTCTGCCAATGTTTTCACCTGGCTCCACGTCTACCCACATGCTTTCATATCCTCTTCACATGACCTCCTCCATGTCACCCTTGGACAACCAACTCGCCGCTTCCCTTTTGGGTTCCACTCGAGGGCCTGTCTTGTGATGTCACTTGATGGTTTGTTTTCTCAGAGTATGGCCAATCCACCTCCATTTCTTCCTGCTTATTTGTTGCACAATCGGTTCCTGCTGGGTTGGTTCGTTCATTGCCAGAGATCCCTGTTGCTGATCTTTCCTGGCCGGCCATCTAATCCTGAGTACTGAGCGAAGACAGCTGTTGATAAAAGTCTGTAGTTTGTTCGAAGTGCCTTCGTCACGCGGTGCCAAGTCTCTGGTTCGTATAGTAGCACTGACTTCACATTGGAGTTGAAAATCCGGAACTTATTTTCCATTCTGAGTGCTGTTGACCTCAACACGGACTTGAGAGAAATGAGAACTTGCCTATCTTCCCGATCCTTGCTTTGATATCTCCATCACTTCCGTTGGCCTGTAGTTGAAATGATGCTTCCCAGTTAGGTAGGTGAGTAAAGGAGGTTGCTTCTTTCAGATTTTTCCCATTTATGCTGATTGTTGTCTGCTGTTGGCCAGGAATCTTCATCACCTCTATTTTCTGTATGTTCACCTGAAGGAGAGAAATAACTAAACACGTATCTGAGATTAACAGCAAGACACACCTTAACGAAGCCTGACATAATATCCAGTCAGTTTTAAAAATAGGAATAAAGGTTGCTGATAACCTAAAACAGTAGATTTCTGCTACCTCATTCAGACGGATAGATGGAAGAAGAATGATTCCGATGTCGTCCGAACATGGCATGCAGTGAAAGCTGCTCAAATGCAGACTGAAAAAAGGTCTCCTCAAAGTCTGTGAATAGTGGTTGGTGAGCGGCAAAAGCCAAATCCGTGGAGAAGATATAATTGGTAGTTAGCACCAGACAATTATTTGATTCATTGGGGGGGGGGAATGAGTTGTTTAAAACCAATGATAAGAGAAACGATTTCCAAGAAAAACATTGCTTTACTTGCGTCTGAGGAAAGATGACTGGATTGTTGGATGGAATACTACGAAGAGCAATTCAACTGGCTTGCGGTCATGCTTAATTTGCCTAACACATTTAAGTATGATCTGAAAATAAGTCTTCCGAGCATACGTGGGGTTGCGAAATCTGTTTCTAATTTGAAACAAGGCGAAGCATCTGGGTATAATTGTATGACTCTGGAGGTATTTAGGGATGGTGGTGATGATCTATTAACTGAATTAACTAAGTTATTGGGTGATGTGTGGGAAACAAGCGTCATCTCGTTGGACTGATGTGCATCATTGATTACCCTAGTTTATATAAGAAGGGAGATAAGTCTTCCTATGATAATCATAGGGCATGGGGGCAATTTGACTACCATGGTATCCGAAATCTAAGGTTCAACAGTCATGCGTAGACTGAGCGATGCTTAGGAGAAACAAACTCGTGAAAACCAGGCAGGCTTTAGGTCAGGAAGATGGCATTTTGATCATATCTTCACTCCTCCGCAGATTTTCGAACATGGGCATACTTACTGGCGTCCAACACTTGCCATATTTCTTAACCTGGAAATGGTATTTCACTCTGTCGACCAAATGGTGTTGTGAAAATGTTTGGCCATAAAGAGATTGGTTAGAAAGTAACCGTGTCACTGTACTCTAACTCAGTCAACGGTGAAGAGTTGTCATCTGAAGTGATGACAACAAGTAGCGTCCGATAGAGACGTTAACTGTCTACATTTTTGTTGAATTTCATCATAAATTTACTGATGGATAGTACACTAATTGACTTTAGGATCGACTTGTTGCCAGAGAACAGTCTCATCGACTAAGAGTATAATGATTATGGTGTCTTTCTAGATGAAGATACTGACAAATTACACAGTTTTCTAAACACCTCGAGCGGGAGTCTTGTTATGTTTGGCATGCGATTCATTGGCAAATGTTTTTGTATTTCACAATGAATGAAAGACTAAACGATTTTGCTGCTTTCACTGACGTTTCGCTATTTAATGCTAATAGCTTTATCAAAGCAGTATTGTTAAACCACAATTTACAAAATCTTAGCTTAAACATATACAGCAACTCAACCATTGTTCATCAGCATGGGGGAATTTCAACGTTGTCAAGTCGGCCGATTGGTAAAGATAGCAAAACCAAGGGTAGATTGTTGGATTTGATAAGGGTGCAAAATTGTAAAAGTGGCATGTGTTTACATAATGAAATTGCTTATCACATTCGTATTGATTTTGTCGTTTCATGGGGAGAGGGTAGGTGTCGTAACCAGGTCAAATTCTGTTTTAGTTAATCATTCCTATTCAGACAATTTTGATTCTATTTGATCTGAAGTGCTTCTGATATCAGACGTTCTTTGTGATTTCTGAAATTCTTCTGGATTACTTCAATATTGTCAAAATCAATTTTGTGACCTGATCCTACAGCGTGTAGGCCATCTATGGCTGGTGATTTTTAAAGCTTTTCTAGTTCAGCTGGATTTATTTCTCGGTGGTTGAACAGACGCTTTACGGTGTTCATTTCTTCTGTTTCTGAACGATGATTAAGTTGCTGTATATATAATCTGAGATTTTGTAAATTCTGGTTTAATATCACTAATTTGAAAAAGCTATTGGCAGTATTAAATAGTGAAATGTCAATAAAAGCAGCAATATCGTTTTGTTTTTCATTCATTGTGAAATACAAAAACTTTTATAATAATAATGAATATCATATATCAAATGCCTAAATTTTTTCAAACTGTTAGAAGTGAACTTAGTTTGGACATATATAAAGTATAATAACATTATAAAACTGTTAACTTCCATTATTCATGTTATGAGCAATGGAAAAGCAACCGGTTAACTAAAGTGGATCCATTTAATCCAGTCCTATGTGATATTATTTCATTTTCTAAATTAATTCAAGTGGAATTCGTGTATGAAGTCATAAGTCGGAATTTTAGAGGCTGACGTTAACGCGTGGTACGAAGTACAATAACGCAAGATCTAACACCCACAACTTATTTAGTATTCGTTTCGCGTAGACCAAAGGCGAAACAAAACACCAGAATTGATCGTCCAAATTATGAATTCTATTTTGGGACCAAATCGGAATGCAAGATGATTGCTTAACTGGTTAGGGGTTCGTGCGCGAACGTAACACAACGGCATGCCAAATGGCATGGATGCTTGACTGGAAGCCTTCAGCTAAACAAATCGACTCAAACAGTGAGGGTCAGCATCCAATATTCAGTAGTGAATGCTGTGGCTAATAATTCTGGGGAATTACCTACTGCAACAAGATGAATGACTAGAAATACCGATGGAAGAAATTCAAAGGAAGTCATCTCTTTCGCTTACATTGATTGGCAGCCAAATCTCAACTACAAGAGGCACGGTGACAGTGAAGATGTCAGAGTCAGCCAGAATCAGAGAAACAGGAAGGATGAAATTGGGGAGACTTACATCAGTTAGGATAAGGAACAAGATTCTAATATTTAACACTAATAATGATGATAATAATAATAATAATCTACTTTATTCCAAAAACAGTATTTATAATACAGAATGGAATTCTCAGCATTTGTCACAATATTGCACCTGATCTACTCAAATTATAAATAAAATTACAACGAAATTAACCGGAGGAATTTGTCCACATTTACGATATGAAGTCAAAAATATTCGAAGCACGAATTGAGATTATTAAATATAATAATAATAATAACAGTGAGTTTGTTTTAAACGGTATTGTCGGTTCAGTTTGGAAACTTTAGCATGTTATAGATTATTGGATCTAATGTTCTGTTGATATAGTATAGTGAGGGGAAACACAAAATTAACAGTTATAATACAGCTTAAATGATGATTCACACTTTTGAAAAAAAAATAAACAAAACAAAAAATTGAGAGGATTGTAGATATAAGAAATACAATAACAATAAAGTTTGATGTTGTAAGGGTGGAGGAAATGGATTATTTAGTGGTGCAAAAAAGGTTGGTTATTTCATGCCTAACACTATTTTCATCACATAAAGTACGTGCTAAATATGGTATAGTGGAATTTTTATACTTAGATGTGCGTGCATAAATTCTTCTGAACAGACTTCTTGTTTTACCTGAGGAGACACAAGGTTGGAGCTGCGGGTAGAGTGGGTGCTCAAAGTCTGACAAAATTCCTTTAGCGAATTTGTTGCATGACATCAAGTGCCTATCCGTGACAATGTCAACGATATGGCCCAATGGGATACCACTCGTCCTACTGACAGTCTTCAGAGTTCTACGAAGTATGACATAGTCTTTTTTAAGCAATCCAGGAAAGAATAAGGGTGAACCGTAAAGAAGAATAGGTAAAATACACGAGTTGACAAACTGTAAGAGGAGTGGTTGGGTTATGCCTGAGTGCCTCAACTTCTTAATGTAATGTTAATTCAGTGCTTGTCTGTGGTTCAGAGACTCGGTAGGCGCGTCATCAACAGTATTTCCAACAGGCTTCAAGCTTTTATGAACTAATGCCTTCTCTGGTTTGATACTGAAGACCAAATAACTAGCCAGAAATGGTAAGCGAAGAGCAAGAAACTACTTCAGCAGCTAAAGAATATACAGATCGATCGGATGTACGCTAAGGAGACAGACATTCGTGTGACATCAGACACTAGGTAGGCCATCAAGTGGAACCCAAATGAGAAGTAACCAACTGGGTGTAAGTCTAAGCTTCACATGGAGAAGATAATGTGA